CGGTTACCATATTTTTCGGAGTGTAAGACGCATCTTTTTCCCTCAAAAAAGAGGCTGAAAATCTGGGTGTGTCTTATACACTGAATACAGCATATTTTGCCTCCTGAAACTCCGCCCCCTTCACCAAAATGGCCATGCAGAGCCTTTAGGAGCCTTACAGAGTTCCTGGGGGCTGGGGGGGGGGCAGAAATGAGCAAAAAAGGGTCGCTTTCTGCCCACTCCCCCCCCCCCCCCGGAAGACTCTACAAGCCTCCTAAGGGCTATTCATGCCCTTTTAAAAAACAAAAACGGACCTGTTTTCGCGAAAAACAATTTGCCTCTTCAAAACCTTGGTGCGTCTTATACTCCGGTGCGTCTTATACTCCGAAAAATACGGTAGGTTGGGAGGATGTACTTGGGCTTCCTTTTTCAATTGTTGGTGTTTTCTTTTCTTTTCTCCCAGAGGTTTTATCTGCCATCTTCAGTGTTCTGTTGATTTACATCCTGATGGTTTTCCTCTTATACGAGGCTGTTCAGCGAACAATCCACATGGACTACGAGATTAATGGAGATGTAATGCTCATCACTGCAGCTGTTGGGGTCGCCGTAAACCTCATGTAAGTTATCGTTTTCCTTCCATTTAAGATTGATAGTCTATTGATCTTGATCTGGCCAGTAAATGCTCAGATCCATCCAGGTGCCCGCGAATCTAACCTGAATTGTGTTTAATAAAGGGAAGTCTGGATTGTGTTTAATAAAGGGAAGTCTGTTGATCGTGACGGCATCTCGTAGCCGTAGGGTTGGCTGAGATTTTGTATCCTAAATTCTGATTACAGATTAACATAGTTGGAAGGGATCTTGTAGGTCATCTAGTCCAACCCCCTGCCCAAGCAGGAGACCCTAAACAAGGCATTTTGCCTGGCTAATCAATTGCACCTGAGTATCAAAATTGATCGAGCCAAGGATTCCTCAAAAAGATACAGGACCTTCCATGGATTAATTTCTTTTATTGAATAACAGAACTCAATCATACAAAGTTATAAAAAAATATTTAAATAAACTCAGTATCTTGAATTTACAGATTAGATGCAGATTAACAGAGTTGACAGGGAGCTTGTAGGTCATCTAGTCCACCCCCCCTGCCCAAGCAGAAAGAAAGGATTTGGAAAGCAGACGGCTTTACCAAGGAGAGGATCAAGTTTTTTTCTTTTCTTGCTGCTTCGTTTAGATCAAAGCATACTTGAATAATGGGGCATAAGGAGGATGAGGGGATTTCTGTCCCGCTATTCTTCTTGGCAAGCATAGGGATGGATTTATTTTTCTCCTTGAACATGGGCAGCAGGCCAGGCCCAGCAGATAAGCAGGAAGAGTGAAATATAATAGAGCAAAAGTAACTCTGGAGAAACAATGTTCAGATAGGCTGTCTGGCCCAGCAGAGATATATATAAAGCACTGCTGATTCCCATTAGTTCCCGCGAACAAGTAACTGATATTTTTCAGACTTCTGGGCTGAAAACTAGGATCCATTTTGTATTTTTAAAAAATTGCTTCAGAGCTTTAAGGTAAAGGTTCCCCTCGCACATATGTGCTAGTCGTTCCCGACTCTAGGGGGTGGTGCTCATCTCCTTTTCAAAGCCGAAGATCCAGCTCTGTCCGAAGACGTCTCCATGGTCATGTGGTCGGCATGACTAAATGCCGAAGGTGCATGGAACGCTGTTCCCTTCCCACCAAAGGTGGTTCCTATTTTTCTACTTGCATTTGTTACCTGCTTTCGAACTGCTAGGTTGGCAGAAGCTGGGACAAGTAACGGGAGCTCACTTCGTTACACGGCGCTCGGGATTCAAACCGCTGAACTGCCGACCTTTCAGATTGACAAGCTCAGCGCCTTAGCCACTGAGCCACCGCATCAGAGCCTTATAGGGGCACAAATCTCACATCTGTTGACAAATCCAGTGACTCTCCTGGGGTTCGAGGAGTCACTGTAGAAAGAATTGTGCTGTGTGTTGTGCCTGTGTGATGAAGAAGCCTGAGTCATTGATCTGAAGGTTGGCAGTTCAACACTCAAGCACTGCGTGACGGGGTGGTGGTGGTCCCGTTCTAGCCTGAACTCCTGGCAACCTAGCAGTTTGAAAGCATGCAAATGCGAGTAAATAAATAGGTACCACTTTGGTGGGAAAGTAACAGCGTTCCGTGCAATGTTGGTATATATAGCCATTCTGGCCACATGACCACAGAAACATTTTTGGATAACTCTGGCTTCCTCGGATAATAAACGAAAGCACCCTCTAGAGCAGGAGTCACCAACCTTTCGGACCTCCGGGACCACTAAATTCATAATTTTAAATCCCGCGGACCACTAATATGAACGAATGATTCCAGGCACTTAGCTTGGCCTCCTGTTAGCGGAGAGAAACGCCCGGGGTCAACCGTAGGTTTGCTGTCCATTGCAGCTAGGCATCTCAAATACAGCCAAGAATGAATGTTTGTCTTGTAACCAGCCCGGATGCTAGATCGGCCCCCTGCAAACTCTTTCTCTCAAGGAACTTGGCCAAAGATTCATGCACTGCTCACTGAAGCAGTTGGACTCCCAGGGAGGGAGGGAGGGAAGGGCCGCTGGAGGTATTAAACAGGTAGCCAAGCTAAGTGCCTGAAGGACCCCATCCTTTCAGCGAGCGGGAGTAATTGTTTTGGCGGGTCAAATCTGGCCCAGGGCTGTAGTTTGAGGATCCCCGATTTAGTGCAATATAAAAAATGCTAATATTTTTCTGCAGACCACCAAAATTTTCTCACGGACTACCAGTTGGTGACTGATGCTCTAGAGTTCCACACAACTGGATAGTTACCTTATGTACTGGTTAAGTTACCTTTAATGTACCAAAAATACCACTTTGGCTTTGATTGTGATGCACTGCATAGCCTTATTTTAAAAAATAATAATCAAAATTCTATAACTTATTTTGTTTCATTGGCATTTCCAAAGTAAAGCTGCCCTTTCCCTGTTTTAAAGGATTTTTCTTCTCCTCTCCTTGTCATTTCAGAATGGGCTTTTTGCTGAGCCAGTCTGGTCACCTCCACTCCCATTCTCACGCGCCTTCATCAGTTCCTCCCTCCGGCTCTTCCGCTGCAGCCCCTGGGCATTCTCACAGTCACGGCCATGGCAGCTTGGCTGTGAGAGCGGCCTTCGTCCACGCCCTGGGAGACTTGGTCCAAAGTATTGGCGTGCTTGTCGCTGCGTACATCATTCGATTTAAGGTGGGCAGGGTTTCTCCGCTTAGACCTGGGGGGGTCTCTCTGATCTAGGGTTCTTCGGCCGTGGGATGTTGAAACGGGTTTATTCATGTAAAAATGTTCCAACCCATAGAGAAGAATGACTCGGGATTGAAATAGTATAGTATAGCCTTTATTGCAGTGGTGAAATTCAATTTTTTTTACTACTGGTTCTGTGGGCGTGACTTGGTGGTTGTGGAAGGGGAAGGATACTGCAAAATCCCCATTCCTCCCCACTCCTCGGGGAAGGATATTGCAAAATCTCCATTTCCTCCCCACTCCAGGGGAGGATACTGTAAAATCCCCATTCCCTCCCCACTCCAGGGGAG